TGATTCTGAAGCCTACTAAGCCAGACTGAGACAATTTCAAGGCTGAGGAAACCTTTGCAGGTGTTTTGCATTAATTAGCTGACTAGATTGGGACACAGGGAGCCTACAATGTTGAACTTTGTCATGATATTCTAATTTTGTGAAATACTGGATTTGGGTTTTTTTTTTTGTCTTTAATCCATAATCATCAAAATTGAAACAAATAAAGGCTTGAAATATTTCACTTTGTGTGTAGTGAACTAATATAACATACAAGTTTCACTTTTTGAAACAAATGATTGAAATAAATGGACTTTTCCTTGATATTCTAATTTTTTGGCACATACCTGTATTAAGATGTGAAAATAGTCCAATAGGACTGTTAGAAATTAACCCAATTCTTTTGTTGGAGGCACGAGAAGTGAAGACAGTTTAAAATCAACAGAAAGTTTACTGAAAGTCTGATCACAGTTAGGTCTTACAGCGCTGGATTCAGAGAGACAGAGCTCCCGCTCCCTGAATCCTGAATTAAGTTTTTACAACATATTTATCTTCTTAGGCTGCTCCGCCCTGGACGGGGGTGCAACCTTCAATAGTTTGTGATCCTATTGGTCATTTGGTGTGAGTAGGTCAACCCCTGCCTGCGCTTGCTTGCTGATATGTGATCTAGACAAGGTGTGTGTGTGTGTGTGTGTGTCTCTGGCACCCTGATCTTGATCTCGAGGTGCACTGATCAATGGGTGACCTGAGTTACAAATTTTCAAAATAAAGATAAATATTTCCAAGGTAAGAAGTTTAGAAAAATTTTGCATAGAACCATGAATGTTCTTGAGGAGCTGAACATTTTGATACTTGAAATAGCAGAAAGTATGCTGAAGTTGAATTTCTCCCATTCATTTGTATGGGGCAAGATTTTCAAAATAAAGCTAAATATTTCAAATGTATGAAATTTAGAAAAATTTTGCATAGAAGCATGAATGTCCTTGAAGACCTGAACATTTTGATAGCCTGAAATAGCTGAAATTATGCTGATGTTGAATTTTCTCATTTATTTGCATGGGGCAAAACTTTCAAAATAACCTAAATATTTCAAAGGTAGGAGATTTAGAAAAGTTCTGAAGAGACACATCAATGTCCTTGAAGAGCTAAACGGTTTGATACCTGAAATAGCTGAAAGTATGCTGAAGTAGAATTTTCCCATTCATTTGAATGGGGCAAAACTTTCAAAATAAATGCTAAATATTTTAAAAAGTATGAAAGTTGTAAAAAAAAAAAAAGGTGAATACATGCCATAATGCCCTGAAAAACCTGAACGTTTTGATACCTGAATGGCTTTTGTAGCTGCAAGTATACTGAACCTACTAAGATGTGAACATTTTCCCATTGGTCCCCACAAAGTAGGTAAAACAATTAGGGTTGTGTATGTGTTTGTTTGTCAGTGTGTATGTTTGCGTATGAGAAAGAAAGAGTAGTCCTACACACTAAAAAATACTAGAGTGTGGCTATTGAAATGAGACATAAAATATTGTTAGAAATTAACCCAATTCTTTTGTTGGAAGCACGAGAAATGATGACAGGAGAGGACTGTTTAAAATCAGCAGAAAGTTTACTGAATGTCTGATCACAGGTAGGCCTTACAGTGCTGGGATCAGAGAGATAGAGCTCCCGCAGGAGTTCCATCCACTG